AATCATTATTCCTGGAATGATGTGTACACTCCACAAAACAGTATCAAAAATACTTTAAAATTTATATTTTCTATGGTGGGAATGTTAAACGTATATGAATCCATCTTGTGTTTCAGTGTCTTTCAACAGAATTCTTTGGAATGAGGGAAATCTTATCTGTCTGCTCTGTCCTATACAGCAGCTCCAAGTTACTCAGCGATTAGGCATACAAACATAAAGAGTATAACAAAGGAATTGAATGTCTAATTTTATTTTATTTTTCTCAATACAAACTTAACTACAAGGTGTTGGAGATATAGATCAGGCATTAAGAGCACTGGCTGCTCTTCCAGAGAACTCAACTTCAATTCCCAGCACCCACATGGCCGCTCACAACTGCCTGTATTTCCAAGATTTGACACCCTCACACAGACATACATGCATGGCAAAAATCAAATGCACACAAAATAAAAATAAATAATTTTGAAAAAATATTAACTTTATATATCATATTGGACAGCATTATGATTATACTCTATTCATAAATATATGTACACATATATGTGTATAATATTAAATTACTGTGTTTATTAATAGACTTTGTCATATATAAGTCATGTTTCTTTAAAACAGAAATAACTTATCTTCTGCAATAGATGACTGGTCAAATTAAAGGGCATTCCAAGGGGAAATAGGTGAGTGTAGCGACTGAGCAATCAAAACTAGAGATTTTAGAAAAAAATTGAAATTAAATGCCTAACTTCCAATGGAAAAAGTTCACTAGTAATAATTACTTTTTAGTGACTATTAATATGGAAGTCAAAAGTCAATGAATTTTGGTTCATTTCTGTGGTAGGTGGATATAGGAGTTCTAATATTCATTCCGTGGGAATTGCAGGCAGAGAAAATAGGGAATATATAAAGAGCTGATTAATCACAGGTAAAAATAATTAGCATTTATTTAAACTGGGGAGAAAGACATTATTGAGTCAAAGGGTTCATAGCTCAGATTACGAAACACCCTTCACATCCTAGGTGGTGCTTTTAAATGATAGGAGAACTGAACAGCAGAATTATAGTCCAGACATCAAAGAAAGAGATAACAGCTGCCCAAGATGCTCAAAATTCTAAATATGCCTGTAGGACTTGTTTATGGGCACTGGGGGCTGATAACTATCAGCCTAGATCACAGTCCAACAAAACATCAAACACAGCAAAAGCGGGAAGGTACAACCTTGCCTTCTGCAAGCCTAGATAGAATTTAGAAACTATCACATCTGAACAGCAGTGACAGCTGAATATTATCCAGTGACTCAATGATCATTGTAATTCTCTGGGCTTCTTCTTTGGTAAATAATAATAATTAGGCTTCAATGGCATTTCGATGGTATATTTTCAATTGAAAGTAATTCAAGGATTGTTTAATATTCTGGGTAGCCTTATTACTTAACACATCACCACTCGCTGTCCAGTACAGATATAGTCACAAACACACTCTTTTCTACTGAGCTTTATGTGGAGAAAGAGATTCAAAAGAGCTTAGATTCAAAAGGCACAGACACAACGACAAAATGTATTCCAATAAGGAAATTTTGAGGAAACAATGATAGATAGCTAAATAACAGTACACAAGCAGAGAAACACACACACACACACACACTCACACACACACACACACGCACACACACACTTAGCACAGATATGATTTTTTTCTTTTCCCAAGTAGCACTTCTCATTGAGGTGTATGCAGATGGACTCTGCAGAGTTACATAAACCAGTGCTGCCTTATCATCCTTTAATTAAACTCTTTCGGCTTTTGCTGGTGCCAAGTAACCCTCATCCCATAGCTACTTAGAAACTTTCTAATCTCATTACTTCCCTAATAAGATAATTTCTTCATGTCCAGTAAATGGTCTTGCAGCATACAGTCACCCATTTGATTTTTACTAGCTATAATTACTAAAGAGGTTTTCTTTAACTTTTCTGGCATCTTTAGCAGTGGTCTATCTTTTTTGTTCTCTAGATCATATACAGGAAACTTCCTTAAGAGGTAATAATGCATTTATTATTTGAATGCTACATCCTTCTCTCCCAGAATCAATTTTCTTTCCTCAAGGTAAAAGAGTCTACACAGATCCAACTCCAGTTTCATCTACTGGGCCTTGCTGTCTGTTTCATGTATTATTTACATTTATGTTTCTTTCAGGTGTTCTGATTGCTAGATCTATGTCTTAAAGTGTTGTGTCTTTACTTGAGTTCAATACTGTAGGAGCAATTTGATAATGTCAACAATGATATCATTAGGACAAGAGCATTGCCTAGAAATTCACTAGTCCAAGCATGGCACAGAACTTTTACCTTGCTTGCCTCGGTATCTCTAAACATAATAGTATTGTATGGCTAATAAACGAGAGTTTGAATAACAGCTGCTGATACTTGGTTACTTCAATGAAGAAGCTGTATTAATTATTCTATCTGTATTCCAAAACAGGCCCCGTCACTGTATCAGTTTAGACCAGAAACCTATCTGTTCACTACCTCCTCTGTTCAAGAATTTCTGACTTATTTTAAGGTGATGCTGATCTTATAGTAGTTATTACCTAGGTAGTCCATACTGACCACCTAGACTTCTCAAGATAGATTTCAAGGCTTGTCCTAAATACTCTTTCTTTAACTTACAGTATTGAGTAATTTATCCCACCAATGTTGTTTAATTTATAAGATCATTGTATTTTATTCTTTCCACTGTATCTCTAATATTATGGTGCCTAGTAATTAATGTCTAATGAATGTTTAATGACAAAGTAATTATTAAATAAATGAACAGTGAATTCCTTACTCAAAGCTTCCCAGACATAGGTTATGCCATTCTTTTTGAACGTGAGCCAATATACTTATTGTTAGCATGCTGATAGATAATAATGATTTAACAATATTATTGGACCATTGTAATTTTAAGACTACTAAGAGAAAAGAGAGGAGGAAAGAATGAGTAGGAATAAGAGAAGGAAACATGAATGGAGAGAGGAAAAGAGAGGAAAGGAAAGAGTCTGATAACTCCCTTGACTACTAAAGGAAACAATTGGCCAAGGGAATTATCACCTAGATACCAGGCATCATCCAGAAACTTCCTGTTTAAGGAATAGAACTTAAAAACATTTAGCAAAATACTGAAAATGCCAACATATCACATGTATTTTCAACACAGCATCGTTTTCATTTCTGCAATAACAATTAACTATCTAGATAAATCTGTTAAGTACCAATTACCTTTAGGTTGAGGCATTGAGAAAAGAGATGACTTAATCTGGTCCATCCAATTTCAGTGGCTTTATTAAGACATGCTAATGATCTATGATCACATCAGTCAAGTTATTCTGCCTCTTAGGAACTAAATGATACTGAATAAATATTTTTGGGTCTGTTTCCCTGGTTATAAAGCATAAATATTACCAAGTACTTCATTTCACATAGCAACTAGAAATAGAACTGAAGAATATAAATTGAAATAATATTCAGTGTTAATTTTAAAAATAGGAATTTTCAAGTAGTAATATAACCCTTGAATGTTGCCTGTATTGCTGTAGCTGGCATTCCTTATTTAAAATAAAAGGAACCAGGTTTTTTTTCTTTTGTGAGAGAACTACAAAAGATCAGTGAGAGTCTTCCATCTGTGCGTAACTATGATTCTTTATGAGCCCAGTAAAATTTTACCTCCAAAAATATCAACATAATAAAAATAAGTGTTACCCAGAAGCAAACTTTTTTTCTCACTGAGTTTCTGAAACTGCATACAAATTTGGTCTTTGAGAAATATTGTACCATAAGTTAAGCACATATAACATGCAATGCTATTCCAAAGAGATTTACATAAAATTAATCATTGAAATCCTATAGGCCAATTATATGAACTATTTTTTAATGCAAAGAACAAATTTGGAAATAATGACGTTAGAGTGTAAGCATGCAATTAGTTTCTTTACAAGGGTATGTAAATTTAATTAAGCCTAGAAGCAGTCTTTTATAAATGAGTAAAAATATGCACAAAGTTTCATCTATGTCTGCTCAGAGCAGTGATTTGGAGTCATGCTGCTTGTCATAGCCAACATTTTCTCAAAGGCAGAAAACATCCTCTCAGTCAGCCACTTGCTGTACAGAACAGTGGGTTAAAATTGTCTGCTTCCAACTATGGACTGGGCTAAACTACAAAACTGTTCCAAAGTGTTGTTGAAGAAAAATGGATTAAAACTTCCTTTCCCTTAACGTAGCTATATGTCTGGATTGCAGAAGATTAAAGAATCAACATTGTAGCCCACCCTGCAGGACAGATGACTAACTCATCATTAAGAAATTCATAGTGCAGAACAACAAACACATTGCTAAACAAGTCAACATCATAAATAAAATAAACAAATGTGTACACAGTGGCACATACATATGCAGGAACACATGAGCACATACAAAGAAACCATCTTGCTCACTCTATGTTCTTTGATCTTTCACAAGGAGATAAAAGCTTCCAACACTGCAAATACTGCTTCAAAGCAAAAACAAACAAGCTAAATCCATGGTTGACCCTACAATCAGTCTTCATGGCCACATCTTATATTCACTTAATAACTGTAAGGGATAACATTAATGAGTTTTAAGGACAATCAGGGTATTTTGTGATGTGCTGGCACCTTCACATATTTTCTCAAGCTTGTTTTAACTCTTTGCACCAATTTCAGATTTTAAATTCCTGAATAGCCTGTGATGTCCTTCATGGGTATTAGTGTCTTTTTTTTAATTGACAAATTACTTTTTTTTCTAAATATGCTCCACAGGATTTAGAGATAGATGTAAGAAGGTGGCAGCATCATGGAGGGGAGAGGCTGTCTTTATCTGCCTGGAGCAAATTTCAAATACTCCTCTCACAACTTGCAATACCGTTGATTTAGACACGATCCTGCATAGCAGGTCATTGTCTAAGGTGATTCTCAAACCAGGAGTCTAGCCCATCTGGATTCTCAGATACTTACAGCTTTCAATCTCCAAGGTACAGTTTTGTTCATCCAGTGGATACCGCCTTAGGTCCATCATGCAGGCAGCCGTAGTTGTGATTCTAGAAGAAAAATGGCAATATGTGTTGTTAGTGTTTAAAGCCAAGAGCAGAAGAGACAAAAATGAAAACTAGCGCTCTCAGAGATTGATTCCTAGCCTAAGTTTTCCTGAAAGGGAGTGATGAATCTTTTGAAGACTATTTTCCTTTATAAATCTCCTGCTGGCTTCTGAAGAGACTGGACAATGTAAGTATCCAACGGGCTGCTAACTACTTGAAACTAAATCATCTACTTGTGTTTCTAAGGCAATTCTCACAAGTCTCCAGAATGCATTGAGGGTGAGATAGTTCTAGCTGTATCTAAGGTGACTGGCGATTGTAACAAAAAAATTCCACTGAGTCTCAAATTTGTTTTATTCCATTCTTCCTTAAGACTCTAAATTATAGTCTTCTTCCAGTCTTAGTTTGGATCTATCATGTTTCAAGCTTTTCTACAAATCACATTGTACTTTGTAAGCATCATCATTAATATACAACACAAGCCCTTCTATCTATGCCTGATTATTCTGTCATAAGCAATTTGATATTCTCTTGGTCACTTAGAGCGTCTTCTTTGATCTTATACCAGGCAGGAATTGATATGCTCCTTCGGCATTTAATTTCTTGGTCATTGTTTCACACTGATGTTTGTACTGACAACCTACAAGGAGTCACAAACCTTAAAATTGTAAATGATTTACAATGTTTCAACACAATATCATTAAAGATTATAAAGCTCTAGACTCAGGTATGAAATCCAGTTTTGTGCACAGAAGCTGAGTGTTCAACACATAGTAGGCTCTTTAAATATGAGTGTCTGCTGAAGGAAACTACAAACAGAAATTAATACTGGAGTTGACCAACCCATATTTACCCTATTATGAGGATCTCTGAGCTCTGCTAAAAATGGAAAAAATGAGATTGAACATTGTCCTGGAAGAAAGAGTGAAGGCTAAACTTTCTAAACTGAAATCATATTGTGAGGAGTTAAACCATGTAGCCTCATTCTGGGAATACACTCAAGTGAATCTGAGAATTAACCCACAGCACATACCAGGAATATGCTACGTTTCTTCATTTTAGTTCAATTGTTGTTTATGGCAAAAATGATCCCCAGAAACGGTTTCTTGTTGATTTCTTCCTTTATCTAGTGAGTCCTATTGGTCATTCTTCCTTAAGTCTCTACCATCCTATCTATCTCCTCTGAGTCTGTCCTCAATGCTTCATTTATAGTTCAATGCAGGAGCTGGACCTCATTACTTTCCTATCTGTCTCCCTGGTTCCATTGTCCACACAAAACATAAAGCCTCTGTTTAGAAATTTTAGTGGGTCTTCCATGGGAATCCTAAGCTCTGACTTTTCTTACTGTGTCCTCCACACTCTGTTACTCTTCCTTTCCCATCATCGTCTCCTACTATGTCTTCTTGCAATGTCTGTCAGTATTCATCTCTGTTCTCTCTGCCTACATCATGCTTTGCCCCGTGCCCCACCCTGGTCTTCACAGAGTCACTCTTTTCTCATCTGTCACTCAAACCCAAGGTCCTGGGATAAGACCCTACCGAGCAGCTTACCCAGGGTGATTGCCTTAACTCCTGCTCCATCTTAGCTTTCTGTTCACTACCTGCAAGCAATTGCCACAATCTGGAATTAGCTTGCTAATTGTTTCCTCAGAACAGTGTTTTTCTTTCAATAAGCTCCTTATAGGCATAAACTCTGCTCGATTCACTGCAAAGACACTCAATAAATATTGGCTGAATGAGAAAATACATTAATTTATAATGAGGCCAACAGTTGGATTTGCTCATTATAGGTCTTTGCATTTGAAAGATTATTTTATTACACTACTTATTTTTAACTTAAAATGGTAGGGTGTATTAGGTTAGAGATGTTCCTTTTATGGTTTTTACAATAAATGGAATTTAATTAATTTAAATTACAGGACATAAATTATACTAAAGTTATTTTATCAATTCGACTGTCTCATCTTTCAATGAGATTTATGCTATATTTAAATTCTATGAATTATATTAAAACTAATATTCACATTTAAATTTTAGTTTATTCTGGCCTCTTGATACTTGGATGGATTTTTTTTCTTGACTCACTATTTCTTGTTATAATCTTTGTGTGAACTGATGAACTAATACACTGTGAATTTCCACTAATCTACAGATTATGAAAGGAAATGAAATTGAGGAAAGGATGGGCATATCATATCCCAATGTTGTTATGTAAAACAGTTGAATAGATATCACTCCCCCGAAACTAGGGGGAATTAATTACTTCACCTGAAATATCTAATTCAAAACACACAAATGTTACAGAGGCATAACTGCAACTTTAAAAAATGAGAGAAGTACGTTCAGAAAGCCAACTGTGTAATTGAAGTGAAGTTTATAATTGACGCTGTAGGTTGTGTTTCACACCTCTGATGATACATATTCATGGCAAATGACACCCATGACCTATGTTATATATGCCAGGAAAAACAAATCCACTATGGCTATGACAGGAGGAATGAGTTTTCTCATGTGTAAGAAGTTCAAGATCAAAAGTAGAAAGTCTGAGACAAGACTGGGATACACATGTTGTCTAAACAACAACAACAAGTAAAAGACGTTTTCTCACACTATTCATATTGTTTATTCCTTTTTATTATCTACTTGTTTCATTTTACTATTTTTAAATATTATAACTCTATTTTTAAATATTATAACTAAGAAAGCTAATAGATACTACAAATAGTTTATATTCATTGTATGCAAATATTTTTGTGTCTTCTATTTGAGTAAAGTCAAAAGTCGTGTACCATTTTAAATTCTGATCATGTCATCAAGGACTGGTGTCCTCAGACAAGCTAGTGGCATCCTCTGACAAGTGGAAAAACTTGCCAGCAAAGTTGATCATAGGATAACAAAAGGAAGTTATATGCAATCTGCCAATGAACAGATGTCAAGACAACTCATTTCACTGAAAAACAAAATTTTTTCCTCAAAATGAATAAATGTAGAACACCACATGTGTCCACTGACAGACAACAAGGCAGAAATAATGTACCTGAATATAATAGTCACACTACAAAGATATAGAACATTGCTACTCTACATGCTTATCATGAACCTGGATATGTCCCAAGTGTTCAAGGAGTTTAGGAACCACATGTTTGTCTTATTTACATTTCAAACACATATGCCTGACACATGCCACTAATACAAGGTAAAATAATAATAAATGACCAAACAAAATAGAGAAAGATATTCCAATGTAGGCACTGATTGACAAATTAAGAATTTTAAAGTGATGCTTATTATGGGCCAAATATAACTCATCAAAGAATTTTTTAAAATTCTGAAAATTAAAATCATTTTTAGTGAAGAAACTACTGTGCAATGAATCCCATTCACAAAACACAAGAGGCAAGCATCCATTTCTTATTTATGATAGGTTTGAGATTCTCCAAAAAGTGCAAAAGACAAAATCTCAGTCCTAATAAATATCCTTAGCATCATCAACAAGCCTTAAATCACTCAACACTATTACTAGGTGTCTTTGAAGAGAGGCTTGCAACCTGTCATAAAAAATGTCTCATTGAAAGACTACAAGATCAGGAAGATCAAGGAATTTTTCTATGAGTTTTGAGTTTCCTAGCAATATCAGAAACTACATCCACAAATTCTCACCAACATCACTATCCAAACGTGAGCTGAACCAAGACTCCTCTAATAGAAATGCCAAATTGGACCTGGAAAAACTCAACCCTAGAAAAGGGCCTATGGGCAATAAAGGAATGCTGAGAGCAAGAGAATTAGTCTTGCCCCAAGGAAGAACACACATTAGTTGGTTATCTAATATCAAAAAGTCACCTCTGAAAATATACCAATAATATTGTGCAGACTAGTTAAATTTTAAGATTTAACAATATGAAAACAGCCTTAGTTTTCGATCAAAGAAATCAGTCCACCTCCAGAATATACCTTACTTACTTTCAATTAGACCATTGGTGGTCTAATTGAAAATGTCATCTATAATACTGAGCTCTTTTCAAGAATAAACGTTTTGCTTAGAAATGCCTATATTTTATTTGGACTAAGAGATCATTGGTAAACTTCACTAGTCATCAGCAACCACTTTCCTATAATTCCTTGTGCTATGAAATATTAACATGGAGCAACAAAACCAAATATATAGCATATATAAGGATTCACTAAGTCATTTATAAATCAAGAAATACAAATGTTAACCCAATCTAATTAAACCTTTGTATCAAAGTGCTAATTGATATTTTTATAGTTCTAGAATGTATGTTTTCATTCAAAGAATGGATATAAAGATGGCTACTAAGCAGAAATAGATGCCCTCTTTCCTTATGAAAGATGAAAAACTTGGAATCACAAATAATGTGACACATCATAAATCTTGCATTGGAATCTTTAGGATATTTGGGAGTTGAAAATATGGTCCCATATGTGCAGTCTGTGAGAGTCTGGTTGGAATTACAAACAGAGATTGTGAGCACATGAATGAAGTGACTTCTGAAAATGACTCTGATTTCTTTAATAGATTATGTTATACTCATTCCTCAAGGAAAATTGTTTTTATTCACATCATTGTATGATTAAAAACAGTGTCTTACCCTGAACTACATTTGGTTCTAATGAACACTGTGGGTTTATTTGCTCAACAAATACATTTACTCAAAACCTACAACCAATTATGCCTGCAAAGGAAAAAAACAAAAACAAGAAGACCTTCTAGCATTAGTAGGCAAAGTAAGCAGAAGAAAATAAAGGATTTTCAAATAGGGAAATGGAGAGATGGCTTAGAATTTAAGAATGTATGGTGCTCTTGCAGAGGACCTGAGTTCAGTTCCTAATAGGCCTATCTAGCAGCTGACACCTTTTTGTAGCTATAGTTCAAGGGGTTCTAATGCCCTCTTCTGACCTCTGTAGGCACTGTACTCCTGAGCAACCCCCCTTGCACAGAATTCAGTTTAAAGTAAAATCTTTAACAAGATCAATTGCCTG